ATTTATTTTATTTCATTTCATTTTCTTTCCTTTTTTCTTTTCTTTCTGTTTTTTCCTTTTATTTTATTATCTTTTATTTTATTTACATTTTTTCTTTTTCTTTTATAATTTAATTTAATTAAACATTAAATTTATTTAATAATTATTATTTTCATTTTAGAAATATTACAAAATTATTCTTAATTTATATAAAAAACAACAAGTGCTACAAACTTTAACTTAGTGGCTTAATTAACAACAACAACAACAAAAAAAAAATAAATCATCATTTGAATATTTACAGTGCTATATTTTATCTTATGTAATAAGAAATATAATGCACAGTCACCCAGCCGCAGCGTAGGTTTCTCTGTCCAGGATGGATTTATGGCAGAAAGTGTGGGTTTAGCCGGATGTTTTACTTTGGGAGTGCGGTGTTTATGTCAATGCATAAATGACACGCTTTGTTTGTAGAACGCAGACGTGTTTATAACAGCAGATGCACAGAGTTTGTTCAAACACACCGTCAGCCGCACGCACCGCTTTCTAGAGGACAAAACACGGAGACTCTGAACATCTCTTTAATATATTCATCAAAGGTTTAATTATCAAATCAGTTCCCACATCATGGATTTTCTGGATATCATGCAGTGTCTTCCCTTGGTTTACAGTTGTTTTTTGGGGGTGGGATGTCTGGCCCATCTATTGAGACATTTATTAAACATGTCTCTTATAAAAAGCAGCTTTACTGAAAATAATTCATGTATTAATTTAATTTTACTTAGTGCCTTATTATAAAGCAGAATGAACCACCACAGAAAGATTACAAACAATGCATGAAAATGATGAAAGATGAAGATGAGTTAAAATGCACACCTTTAAATCTAATACTCGTTTACTAAAACCAAATAGGCCTATAAACTACTTCTTATAGCAATGAGTGTATTACAAGAAGTTGTAGAATTAAATATTTATGTTAAAAATGTTATCTATAATAATTCCAGCCAGCTTTTAGTGCAATATTGTCAAAAACACAGAACTTTTAGTTGTTATATGTAAAAAAAAAAGGTCTAAATACATGAAGGACCAGTGCAATATATTGCTCATCCAGCTATTGACAGCAGATCCCTCAATGAGGAAGAGAGAGAGGGATTTGCACTAGCGATATCTTTACTTTTGTGATTGTTTTAATTGAATCTCGCCCTAAAAATGAATAAAATAGTCTTTGACAGCATGTAAAAAACAAACAAACAATGCTGTAACCAAAGATTTTAGCAGTTTAGCACCATGACTTCTCCAAAGCACAGCAAACCAGCCTGATCATGCCATGCTTCAGCTGTGTGTGTGTTAGAGTGTGAGAAATGTGGCAGTGGAGCGCCGGTGCTTGTCAGATGTGTGTTTATGTTGTGGGAAAGAGTTCAAGTGTAAGTGACTGAGCACATTACATCTGTTTTCCCTCAGGTTTTCTTCCTCGGCGTGGAGATCTGAGCGTCTGTCAGTCGAACCCGTGTCTGAATGCTGGCGTTTGTGCCACGGACACTCACAGAAACTCTTTCCACTGCATCTGTGCTGACGGATTCACTGGAGCTCTGTGTGAGAAGAGTCAGTGGAAAAC